ACACCTATCAAAGTCAGGGCCAGCACACATGGTTAAATACCAGCACAAAGTCACAGCTCTGGGAGCTGTCAGGAGCCAGTGATGCAGTGGCTGGGACCCAGCAGTAGGAGAAGATATATTTGACTGAGCCAATATATGACACAACATCCTGATTTCTCTGGTTTTGTTTCAGTGTTACATGCATTTTTTTTCCTTTGGGCTCCTCCAAGCATCCCCCAGTCTCAGCAGAGGAGGGAACGCCAGGTTGATGAAACAATCCCGATCATCTCGTATCAGTCATGAATGTGCTTTGATGGTCAGGGTGCATCCCGTGACCTGTGTCTCACAGTGTGCATGTAGGGGCAGAGCATGGGGCTGAAAAGGGGAAAAAGAGGGCTCAATATTTCCATCCACAGCGTTATGGATCTGATTTTCTCTTGCAGCCAAACATAGCATTGATTTATTGCAAATGGCCACTGGACTGTGCTGATAGTGCACTAGGGGTTTTTTTAGGTACCTTCTAGTCGATGCTGCGTGCTGCCTCAGCAAGTTACTTCTGCAAAGGGCTGTGGCGTGAGCCTTACCGAGGGGCAGACGCCAGAGGAGGGCCAGCATTGGCCCAAGGGCAGGGAAGGAAAGCTGCGTGCAACTCACCTGTCCCAAAAAGCCATCCCACCTCTAAAATTTCTCCTTACCTAGCCCACAGGGCAGAATTATCCGTGGGAACCGTTGCAAGGAGCAGTTCCGAAAGCTCCCCCCGCCCGGAGCCCGGCGCTCCCCGAGCTGCCCCGGGGACCCCCGCGTGGCTCGGCGCTGGGGCCGCTGTCCCCGCCGAGCTCCCCAAGCAGAGACTCAAGTGCCATCTAGTGGCATGCGGGGCCCCGCCGGACACACGGACGTCCCCGCGTCCCGGGCAGCAAGCCTTGCCCTGCTCACCGCCTCGGTGCACGCTGCCTCCAAGCCGCGATCCCCTCTTCTCCGCAGAGCCTGCCTTTGGCCTCCTTTTCCCACCTCTTGTGTATCCTCTCTTCCCCTTCTCCACGTGCCTTCTTTTCACCATTGTCACATATCCCCCTTCTTCCATGCCCGTACACTTCTCCTCTCCATCCCTCCAGGTCTGGGCCACCTGCGCCTAGGACCATCACAGCGCACTGTGCAAGGGCAGGGGACAGCAAAGCCTCCGAGGGACTTGTCTCATCCCAAGCTCACAAAGCAGGGAGATGGCTTTGCGATGGGACTATCAGCCCTGTTCAGACTCCGGCGTGTCTCTGTTGTCACCTCCATGCCCTGTCCCCCAGTGACTTCCCCAAGGTGGGTCTTGCTGCCCTCCCTAGCACGGGGGCTGCAAAGAGAACCTGCGGCAGGCTGCGGTGGGTCCCACCAGCAGCTCCCCAAGGAAGGCTTTGGTGGGACCTCATCGGTGGTAAGAGCCACGAGGGGGCTCCAGGAACCCATTTGAGCCAGAGGAGAGATGCCAGGAGCAGAACTTGCATCTCCTGGAGGATGGAGGAGAGATGCTAGGAGCAGAGTTCACATCTCCTGGAGGATGCGGTCTCCTCCAGCATCCAGGGTGAAGGAGAGCAGGACAGATGTCACAGATCTGTCGAGGAGCAGGGTCTGCCAGAACTTTTGTCCCTGTCACATACATCATGCCAAGGAGCAGTGCATGTGTTCCAATGTGCCCAATGCAGGGCCTGAGAGAGGCTGTGGCATGGACTGTGCTGGCCTGACCTGGAGGGCAGCAGGGCCACAAGCTCTTGCAGGACTCTAGTGTTCTAGCTGCAGATTCGCCCCACAGTCTTATTCCTGCAGGTCCACATTTATCCATCACAGCTGTTTTATCCCTGTCTAACTCCACCAAGTGTAGGGGTATTATTTCCAGGAGGTGAATTTGACCCCAGCATTAAAGAAATGCTTTGGATAACACTGCTGAGCTCACTCCTTGGCAAGCATCATGGACATGCAGAAGTAACTCCAGGGATGACCTCTTCAAGTATGGGAGACATGAGTGAGAAAGCAGGTCGAAGTCTGTCTGCTGGTTTGTCACAGTCTAACTCCACTGTCCTATCAGCACTTGGGGAAGAAAACACTCCTTGTTAAAGACTCAGCATGCCCAATCCTGTTACTGCATGCTGAGGCCTCAGATAACATTTTTTTGCAAGTCCCCTGGCAAGGTGGGGACAAGACTCAACACCCCTGGCATCGCTGAGATAGCTATGTGTTAGCTGGATGTTTTAAGTAAAGAGCAGGTAACAGCGTACATGAGACAAGGTGACCCTTGCCCAGCACTCTGCCTGGCCAGCACCAGATCCTCCTCTCAGTGACCTTTTTTTGCCTTTACTCTTGGTGGACACTTCACACAGCCGTGTGAGTGGCCAGGCCTGGCCATGGCAGTCCCTCCTCTCAGACAGGTGGGAATAACACTGGAGAAGGCATTGCAGCCAGAGCAGATTCTCCACCACCTTCCCTTTGCAGGCCGTTGTCCATCTTTCCACCAGCAGACTCTGCAGCACAGGGTTTATATTGCTGCAGAGGCTGGGGACAACCCGGAGTGCCAAGCCTGCACGGCTGCCAGGTGGCCCCGTGGCTCAGTGGGAAGAGCCCTACCCAGCAGCCCCAGACCCACAGCAGCAGTGGGGTGCAGAGTCCATTGGGGCTGATCTGCTCTAACCAAGGGAGGCAGTACAATTACCCAGGCTGGCTAATTGGGGCTCCAATAGGACTGGTTTGGAGAACTGAGCCACTTAGTAGAGGACTGGGACACTGCAGGCATCGGGGCTGGGGTTTGGAGCAGGAGGGAATGGGGATGCATGAGGCTGCAGATAGCTTTAGACACTTGGGGACAGCAGAAATGGGGTTGTAGCCATTCAGCCACTGCCTCTACACCTTCTTTAGGAGCCCACGCTGTCTCAGGTCAGATTTGGCCAGGAAAAAAACCTGATCCCTGAGCTGGTCATCATGAGCCTGCAGGTAGCTGCGATTCTGCACACCAAGGAGTTCAGGAAGCTGTTGGATGGGGACAAGCACTGGGGCAAGAACCCCCCCCAGGATATGGCAGTCTGGCAGGGAAATCAGCTCAGAGGGTTGCTGGTGGGGTCTACAGTGACATGCCTCTTGGGCATCCTCTCCTGCCCTCCAGAGCTTGCAGGGTCGGCATGGATTGCTTTAAGCCCACGCTACACCCAGCAACATGGTCCAAAAACATGTTGAGCTTGTGTTGCTACTTCACGTGTCCCAGTCCAGCCTCACAGTGTAAACACAGACTTTGACCCTTGGTGATGTGGCTTGAAAGAGGTATCAGCAGGCAAAGAAAATGTCACTTCAGAATTAAAGTTGCCCCTGAATTAAGAGGAGCTGTTCTAAAAAGCTATAGAAGGCTGTCGTGATGGAAAAATGAGTGCATGAAGGACCCACCCTGCAGAACAGTCAGGGAAAAAATAGATCACAATGTATTCAGGGCTCAGACAAGACCACACTTGCCTGCAAAAATAAAGCCTTGCATTTGACACATTGCTACATATTAATTAGTTTGATCAGCTTGCCTGGGTGTGTTAACATGAGTGAGACCTCGTGTCTCTACAGCGATGAGCTGTTAAAACCTCCCCTATAGAGCTACAAATAATGGCAGACTGAGATCTTCCTTTTGCCCAGAGCCTTTCTGCTACTTTTCTAGTGCTTTTCCACTCATATTTTTCTATTTTACTTGACCGAGTCTCCTAGGTATCATTTCTTCCCCAGCGCAGAGCCAGAGACCCACAGGAGGAAGAGAAGCAGCTTCTGCATGGGAAGCCCAGGAACCATCACCCCCCAGAGCACAAAAACAAGACATGGAAAAAGAGGAAAACTCTCTTTTCTTCATTCTATCCCCTTCCCTCCCAGCTTCTCCAGGATGGCTGGAGGTGCAGCCGCAGAGGCTGGAGTTAACATCGCCCCTTTAACGGCAGCGCTGCAGCCTGACATCAGCGAGCTGGGGAGTCCGGGGAGGGCTGGGAGCTGCTGCTCCAGGAGTGGTGCCAACACATCCCTGTTTCCCTGCCTCTTCCCCGCTCTTGTTTGTGTGTGCCTTTTAACACGCCGCATATGTATCCGTGCCTGCCAGTGGATGTCTGCAGGGTTTACATTAACCAGCTCGAGCTGAAGTTGGTAAACAGCTACTAAAGTTTTGTTCTTCGTGTCTCCAAGGGTGTCATTTCTGGACAAGGGAATCACTTGCATCCTTTGACTTCCTACGGGCTATTCCCTTGTTTGCAGCCCAAATAGATCTTCTTCCCACATAGCTATGCAGACAAGAGGGGTTTGGGTTGGTTTGTGCCTGGCGCAGGGAGGGGAAATGAATCTCCTGTGGTGTAGTGGGGAGCGTTCATGTTTTTACCTGTTTCCTCGACAGGAGGGAGTCAGGCTCAAAACCTGTAGGTTTAGTGTTTAAAGTTCTCTCTCCCAAGCAGAGTCTGCACCTAAAGCTGCTGTTTTGCCCTGGGACAAAATGCTGAACCCAGCAATTCCTCAGTTCTGCAGGAGGCTGCAAACTAAGTCTTGATTTTATTCAGACTGTCACAACTCAAAAGTTTCTCGGAAACCAGATTCCTGTCCCAAACGCTGCACGGCACTGAGCAGAGAAGCCGAAAGCAAGTCCCGAACACCGATCTCGGCTGCAGCAGCACCACTAAAGCTATTTAAACCCGCACAGGTTTTTTTTCACACGTTCTTGCCTTCTGTTTTTGCTGGAGCCTCCGACCCTATTGAGAGGCAAATTCTAGCCATCTGGCAAAGCGGGCTGTAGGGGGACAAAAAAAAAAAAAAAGAGAGAGAGAGAAAAAACACAATGCATGGGCACACACACACACACACACGGGCGCGCAAAACTCTGGAGATTAGGGAAGACAAAAACTTCGCTGAATGCCGCGGCTTTTGCTGGAGCGCACGGGCAGCCCCGCGGCGGGAGAGGAGGGAGCGGCGGGAGAGGAGGGAGCGGCGGGGAGGACGGTTCTAATGCAGGCAGGTCTGCCTGCGTGCCTGTGGGGATGTGGGGAACGGTTGCAGGCAGGGGAAGGCGTGACCTGCATGGAAAATGCCAGACAACTCCAGACGCACACACACATAGGCGCACACACGCTCACAAATCTCCGGACGGAGATAAGGCGGACAGCGGAGCGTTTGGAAGGAGGCAAAGCCGTCCCCGGCAAACCAACCGGCGATCCTCTGCGCCAAACCCGCCGGCAAACTCTCCCGGCAGCAAAATGAGGTGAGTACCTCCGCCATGGGCTGACCCCGGGGTCCCGCACGCCGTGGTCTCGGGGCAGGGGGGCCATCCCGCCGAGGAAGGTTTCCCTCTGATGACCGTGGCTTCGGATTCCCCATCCGCCAGCGAACGAGGCATTGCTCGTGCCTCGGCTTCGTGCCGCAGCCCGGCTTGCGTGCTGGCATCCCGGCAGAGCCGAAGGGAGCCTCGGGCGACGGGCACGCAGCTCAGGCGTACCGCTCTGCCGTGGTCCGTGGGTGAAAGGTGTGAGCGAGGCTGGACACGCTGCACGGGCTTCAGGTTTCTGTGCACGCCACAGTCATTTATCACTTTTACGTGAGGGCAAGATTTTCCTGGCATGGGAAAGAAGTTTGATGTTGTTTTGCATCCCCTGCTTAAAGGGAAAGCAGAGAGTTGCACCAGCAAATGGCCTGTTCGAGTCGAGGAGGTGATGCCCATTTACACCAGCTGAGCATCCAGCCCCGTGCATGTACTCTGACCAGAGGAGAAACAGTTTTTCCCTTCGCACATTTTTGTGGTTTCAGACAAGCTGTCAGAAAAAGGCATGTTCAACCTCACTCTGCTTGAAAGAAAAATCAATCCAAATTTCTCAGCTCCCATTAACTTTGCTTTGTAATGAAGAGCTGGGAAAACTGATGGCACTACACAAATGACCCCCAGAATCTACTGCCCTGGTTTTGAAAGAACACAGACAGGTTAAAAATAATCCACTTATATAGCTTCAATTTCCTCATGCGCGTACCTAAATCAAGCCCTGATTTTGAAACCGCGTGTACGTGTACATGTGAGTAGTTCCAGCATCTGCAGTACTCACCTACAAGCCTTTGCCAGGCCTTAGTACCTATTTTAGAAAGCGGAAATTTTTGTCTCTAATGGCTCTAATTTCCTGCACATTTCTTTTCCTTTGTGCGCTCCACTGGGTGTAAAGAGCCTGAGGTCTGCTCCTCTTTCTGGGTCCCATGCAATGGCACAGGCTTTTGTGTTTACATCTCCAGCACAGGCGGTGTTCTCCCCTTGCACAGAGAAATACTCGGTTTATGCTCACTTTCACGCTCAAATGGAGCTCGAGGCTGGTGCGAGGTCAGCTGAACTGCCACTGATTTACCTGTCCTCTTTCCCCTCCTCTGGGACAAACAAGTTGGTAACAAGTTGGGACAAACTCTTCTGACTGAGGTTTTTTAAAAGCTGAGTTTGGTGACAAAAGATCTCTAAGGATCTCAACCTCTGTGTGCTTCTCCATCTGGGGTGAGTGGTACCCTAAGAATTGAAGAGAAAAAGAAGAAAGGAAAAGAAAGGAAAGGAAAGGGGGAAAGGAGGGGGGAGGGGAAGGGATGAGGGATGAGAAGAGAAGAGAAGAGAAAACCAGAAAAGAGTGGAGAGTAACATACTGGGTTACACTGCTGGGGCCCCAGTCCATCCTTGCCCAGCTGCAAAGATGTGTGCTGTTTATTGAAAGTCAACAATCCCAATTTGGCAGGATGAGGCTAAGCAGTAATAATAATAATAATGATACTTAGCAGTTATTGCCATGATGTTTTCATTAAACCGATTTAGAAAGCGTCATTATTTTATTAAGTATCTTTATGCTTATTCTTCCATTAAATGAAGATTTGCCCATCAGAGCCCCATTAGTTAAAGGATGTGTTGCCAGCGGCTGCTGTTCCCAGAAGCGTGAGAAACACCGAGCTCCTGACAGACCCCAGAGCTCGCTGGGAGCTGTGGAGGTGCCTTTGCATTGCACGTGGCCCCTGCATCACTCACCTTTCGAAGGGGCTTTCCCCTTCTGGGAGCCACCCTCACCTCCACCTCCCTGCAGCTTGACGGGGGTTTTGCTCATGGTGACACGGTGCTGCACCTCCTCTCCCAGGCATTTCGAGTGTGTGACCTTACATGACCCACTTGGGAAAGGAGACTGAGCCCTCAACAGGTTTTGGCATTGCCAGAGTTTCATTTCATCTCCTCACTTGTGTTTTCCAGGTACCCCCTGACCTGGTCCTTTTGTGCCTTGCTGCTCTCTGCGGCAGATGCCATCGAGCTGACGGACATGTTTGGGGAGATCCAGTCTCCCAACTTCCCTGATTCCTATCCCAGCGACTCGGAAGTGACATGGAACATCTCTGTGCCCGACGGATTTAAAATCAAGCTGTACTTCATGCATTTTGACTTGGAGTCATCCTACCTCTGTGAATACGACTATGTGAAGGTGAGCTGTGATATCACAGGGCAAATGGTGGGGTAGACAGCAGACCTGTTTGGCCAGCTGAGAGAGGGTACTGCTGGAAAAGCTGGGAACAAACTGGTTTTCCCCATTTATTGGGCACAGGAGTTGTCAGTCCAGTGGACAACGGGGAGAGCACAGGTAAGCTGACAGCATCCATTGGACAAACAGTGAGTGGACACCAGATTCAGAGCTCAGCCACAGAGGACCAGATTTCTGAAAGTATTTGGACACCTAATTCTCATAGGACCCAGTGGGATTTACACACCTACGGGCTGATGAAACCCCTGTGGCTAAACCCCAGCCTGTGCCACACTGATGCCAGCAAGGTGCAAGGAGGACCCCTGAGTTGGGCACCCTTTGCCAGGCCATGGCCATGGGTGCATCTTGCAGCCAGCCTGGATCCCTGGCCATGGCTTGCAGGCTCTTGGAACACCATGTCCAGCCCCCAGGGAAGCAAAAGGGAAAGGTTAGACCTGAGCTTGAGGCTGCAAGTTGGGGTATGCAAGCAGAGCGTCCCACAAGCCGCAGGGCACAGACCCAAAGGCTCCCTTGGGTTCAATGCAAACCCATTTCACAGCTGAGATATAGAAATTTGGGGGCCACTGCTGGCAAATACCTGCAGCACAAACAAGCTGTGGAGGTTCCCAGGGAGCTGTCATGGCCAAAACCACAAAAGATTTCAGTCTGCTTTATTGCTGGGCAGTAACCCATCAGAAATTGCGGTGGACCACACACTGCAGTGCCACAGAGCATCCTTGCCTCTTGCACCACAGGTCTGTCCAAGCAGGGCTCTCCTTCACATCCAGGACAAGCTGGGTTCTCTGTATCTTTGAACTTGGTCAGGTTTGGTACTTTCTAGCAGACAGCAGTAGCAAGCAGGTGCTTTCTAGGTTTGCCTGGCTGAACATGCCTTACCCCGTTGCCCAGCACAAGCCTCACCCTGCCCCTCCTCACAGAGGCAGGCAGAGGTTGCACCCAGGTCTGGAACTGCAGAACTCAGCCCTGGTGCTAGTTGCCAGCTAATTAAAATTATTATTTTATTCTTGCCCTAAGAAAACAAAGCAAACATTTGGATTTTTTTTCCTCTAGGGTCTGTTGTTCACTGCTTTAATTTCCCCTTTGTGCTGGCACTCATTCTGCTACTAACAGCTCTCATTGAGCTTTGATTAGTTCTTTCTGCTTCTCCTGGATCTTCTCCAAGCACAAGGGCCAGGGACATATATAGAGATATATTGCTTTAAAAACCCAATAAGCTCAAGGAGCAGATTTGTTGGAAACTTTCCCCATTCCAGGCTTTACCCCTCCTCCTGCCCTTCACCCCCTGCTCATTTTTCCTTTTTCATAAGGCTCCCTGTTATTTGGCCATAGTGCCAACTTGGCACCATAGCTCTCCCTGCCGCTGGATTTCCATAAGAAGGCGGTATTTTTCACGGAGATTTAGATCTCAGCTGTATAAATTTGCTCGGGGCTGTAACTCAGCTTGCGGAGCCTCCACCACAGAATTACATTTGCAAAGTGCTGAAAATGGATGGATTTACGGAAGATCCGTAGGCTACTCTGCTGGGTAGGGGTGCAATCTTGATGCCGCTAAACCACCAGCTTAGAAAACATTGAGAGCAGCAAATGACTCCGTGGCTATTTTCCTCCTTGGGTCTGTATGTCCAGCCTCTGTCTGCACCAGCGCAAGACTTAAAAACAGCATCAGCCCACCCTTTGACAGACGCCAACAGTGCATGGCTATAGAATATAATTATAGACCTGATACATAGAGGTGCTTCTCTGTAATACTCTGCCAGTCCCAGTGAAGATGCTCAGAAAGCCACAGGTGGTATCTCTGCGTTCGATAGCACTTAATGGATTCCCCCTCCATGAATTTGTACCAGTGCTTTCTGAACTCATGGGCGACTTTAATCCCTGAAGCATCCTGTGGCAGAGAGTTGCACAGGTTAAATATATGATTAAAAGCCTCGGCATGTGTGGGAAGAAACACCCTCTTGTTTGTTCTGACCACGGGTCTGACCAGGCTTTCCATCAGGGTCTTCATCATCTCGACTGCCATAAAAAGGAGGAAAAAACAGGCGCTGAACAGCCCTGATACAAGGCAGGGACCCAGCTCAGGACAGGCAGAAAGCCGCCGTGTCCTGGCCTTTGCTTCCCTTACCTCCTTGGCTGCCCATGCGCCCGAGCTCTTGAGCAGTATAGAGTCATCCTAAGTGGCAAGCTCAGGGCGAGCCAAGATGTAAACCCACGCAGATTTCTGCCTCTGGGGTGGTCTTCAGAAGAGAACAGTTTCCAGAGCTCTGAAACAATGGCTAATTAAAACAATAGCTGTTTATTTATATATATACACACATAGATGCATGCGTGTGTGTATATATGTAAAAAGAACATGGCTCCTAAAGAAATGTTCACAGGCCAGAAGGCTTGTTTTTGCAAACGAGGATAGCGGAGAGAGGGAGTAGTACTTCAGTAAAGAAGTGAGCCAGGAGGAACAGCCACCCCCAAAATACCCACCCAAAGAAGCCTGATGCAGGTAGGAAACACCAGCTGCACACTGCCTTGGGAAACTGAACTCCGGGCCCCGGCGTGTCAGAAACAGGCTCCCCCTGGGTTTTGGATGGCTGCCCTCAGCCGCCTGCCAGGTCCAGGGGGACGGGGAAGGAGCAGCCATCCACGCTGGGCTTTTGGCTCCTGCCCTCTGCCGTGCTCCTCTGCAGGCTCTACCCGGCTCATGGCTGTCCCCAAGGAGCTTATTTGGGGGGTTCTTCATCTGCAGGGGATCTCACTGTGGTTTGCCCAGCTCCTTTCTGGGGTCACCCAGCACTGAGAACTTTTGCACACAAGTCTCCAGCACTGGCCTGGGGGACCCTGAAAGCCATGGCCATGACCAGGTAATCAGGTTAAGTGACTTGACTTGAGGAGCACTGTGGCAGAGGCAGGGAGATGGGAGGTGAAATCCCAGTGGAGCAAGCCCTTGCTGGCTCACGGTCGTCGTGGCATTACATGTCTTCATCCCAATCCTTTCCACTGAGTCCTGATTCAGGATGGCACATGCTTGAGACCTGGCAGATTTCAGCACATGCCGCAGGGCTTTCCCTTCACTCCTTCAAACCCAGGAGCTGTCTGTGATGGGTCTCTCCAACTGTGCATGGGGGCAGAAGGTCAGAGGGGTCCGTTACACTTTGTGGGTCTGGTGGGTCCCATCTCCTCTGACACAAGCCAAGTCTCCCTTGGATATACCTCTCCATGTTGTGTCCAGACTTCTGCCCACATGTGGCACTTGGGATGCTTTCTTTTCTGCAGCTGCTATTCACACCCATGTCCCCGGGGAGGATCTGTGCCCTCGGGTCCTCACCCAGGCAGGACTCCTACTAACCCCATGTGTGGGTGCCCAGGAGTTGGCCAGGCATCTCAGGCAAAACCAGTGGCTGCAAATAAATTTGCTTGAGGGTGGCCAGGGGCCCAACCGAGTGCAGGAGGCAGTTTTTGCCAGCCCTGGTGAGGGGAAATCAGGGGTATGGGCCAAGCTGGGGAGGCAAGGCTGCAGGCAGAGCATCCGCTAGTGCCACCGCCCCAGGAAGCGGCACTTGGGAAGGGGTATTGTGAAAGATTTGTGATGTGGTGGAGCCAAGGTTTGGCACGGTGTTTAGGGTGCGTAGCAGATTGGCTTTGCACGCGGCATCCTGGGCTCGCAGTGTGCCATCCCCTGCCACGGGCGATTCCCATGGGGCAGGGCTGCGTGCCGCGCTGTGCCAAGCGCTCGGCAGCACTGTCCCCGGGGACACCCTCAGTGCTTGACACGGCAATGGCAGGGGCCGTGCAGGGTCAGGGAACGAGCTCGATGCTGCATTCGGGGCAGTGCGTGCCCAGCCTAGGGCTGCGAGAAGGGTGCACGGGACACATTTACACCTTCCCCTGCTCAAAGGGGAGGGAAAAAGCACAAATCAGGGCTTGGCATGAGCTAGGGGATCAGGAGAAGAGTATCCTCTTTTGGTGCTGTCAGCTGGCATCAGCCAGGGGGTAATCCATGCCCCGGGGCTGTGGGGTCCCAAGAGGAGCACTTCAAATCCTGGGAGGCAGCTAGGAGGAGAGAAGGGCCCGGGGCTTTGCTGCCGCCTTTCCCATCCTGTTGGCTCTGCACAGAGGGGTCTGGTGGCACTGGCCACCCCCTGCACCGCTGGGGACCACAGTCACCCCCTGTGCAGGGGAAAGAGGAAGATCAGGCATGGAAGTGAGCCAGCAGCTCTGTCAGCACCCCAGCATCACGCCTGGGCTCTCCTTGCACCCCCAGCCCCCCCCCCCCCGGGCACAGGCCTGGCCCAGAAATAGGGCATGTGGGCTCAGCAACCCGTGGGACAGGATGGTCTCCAGACGCTGAGCCAAGTCCACAGCAGGGGAAACCAGCCATCCTCCCCTTTCCCCCACAGCACAGCTGCCATGTATGTTCCTGTGGAAATTCAGGTGCATGCTTGCAAACGAAAGGACCCTTAATGCATATCAGGGAGAGGACGCATGCATGTTCGGGAGAGGATCTCCAGGAGACCTAGATGGAGGCTCCTGCTGGGGCTGCCCCATCCCTGCCTCATTTCCAACAGTCAGCAGCAGCAGCATCAGTCATTTTGCAAAAAAACCCCGTTCATCTGGGTGTTGCCTTCTTGCGTGTACTCTAACTGCAAGGCGGCTCGGCAGGGGCTGTTTCATGCCCTTCCCTGTCTCTGAGCGTCTCCTCCCTGTGTCATGTTCCCAGTGTCTTCAACCCAGCACTGCGATTTCTCTGCCTAATGAGCCATTTATATATATTACAAGTGGTATGTTTGGCCTTCATCAGTCCAATTAGTGCATTCCTGGAGGGCTGGAGGGGGGGGCGGTGGCGGCTGCATTTCCGTATTGCCGGCTGCCTGCTCCTCTCCGGCAGCAGACACTGAACTGCTGGGCCAAATTCCCCTTGGTGTTCGTGGTGTTCCATTAACCCACTGCAGAAGGTATCTCTGGAGCATCGCTGCTCAGGCACCCCCAGCAGCCCATGACCTGGGGCAGCGTTTCTTTCCTGCCAAGCTGGGGCACCCCAGCTCCTGCCTTCTGCCCCAAAGGGGGAAATCAATATGGGGCAGAGGGGGGGCCACACAGCTTGGGTCACCACTTCTCTTAGCCACAGCCCAAGCCAGAATGCAAGGGGAGAGAGCCACAGCTGGGGAGGGATCCCCTTCTGCCTCCATCCAGAGGGGCAGAAATCTTAACGAGGGAATGAAGCGGCAAGCGGAAACAGGGAAGACGGCAGGAGGCAGTGGCAAGGGTAAATTTAAGGCACGAGAGTGTCGTTATATTGTATTTTTCAAAGGAGGATTCTTTCAGCGTATTTTTACAGGGAATTTCTCTGCGGCAATTGATATTTCCCTCAGGGACACATCTTCTCTAGTGAAAACGTCGACATCATGACCCGAGAGGGAGAAACTCCAAACAAACAACCAGGATTTAATTACCAGCCTGCTCACTGGATGTAAATGATCTACGAAAAAGTATACAGTCCTCAGCAGAAGCAGCAAATATTAACCAGGGATGATGACCTCTCTGTTTAGTTTACTGCTGGAGGGCTGTCTCTGCTCCCTGTGGCTCGGGGCATGGGACCCGTCACAGATAAGGGGCCGTGGATACCTTCGGCGAGGAGAGCACAGCTCTCCCGGGCCTCATCCTGCCACTCCAGGGCTGTATCCAGGGATGCTGGGGACAGTGTTGGGACTGGGCCCATGGCAGGAGCATCCTTGGGCCAAGACACGGGGCCCCAGGGAGGCTTTCCCGCGCTTTGGTGATGCTGTGCCGTGGGTCCCGCACCAGCCGAGGCTGGAGGAGAGGGATGGGAGCTCACACGGTGACTTGTGTGTCCCTGCAGAGGTGACAGCCACCGGTCCCACATAGAGGAACTGGCTGGAAACTGCTCCTTCCTACAGCTTCCCTTAAAAAAAAGCATTTTCTGCAGAAAAGGCTGTGTGCCACACGCTCACGCTGCCACAGCCGAGACATCGTGTCAGGGCCAAAATGCCATTTTCATTTGCTCTTGGTGATGGTGCTCCCGTTTTTCAGTCTGAAACGCTATTTCATTTCATGGATTTAAAAGAGATTCTGAAGCACCACAGTATATTTCAAAGGGATTGAAACCAGATGGATCCCAAATTACTTGTTTTCCTTTTTTTTTTTTCAGAATGCTATTTCACAAAAAAAAATAAAATTCAATTGGGTTTTTGTCCCAATGCAGGGTGCGTGTTTTTCTCCAAATTCTCAAAATTTATCATCGGAAAGTCTCTCTCTTTTCTGGCCAGCTCCAGCTTGTATGAGAGGATGGAAAATATCTGGAGGCAATGTCAAGGCATGCTGAGTTACCATTTCCACGTTGGCTTTCCCTGGTGTGAGCGAGTTTCCGCCTGCTTGTTCAGCCCTGGGAAATTTCCCTTTCTAGCCCCAGACCCTCCCCGGCCAGTGCATCCCGAGGGTCTCCAGGAGACAGGGATGTAGCTGGAGGACGGTCTGGCCTCGCCAAGGCCACGCAAGCCGGGGATGGCATTGCAACATCTCCGGGACCCCGTGGGTCCCTGAGCAGGCGGCTGTTTTCCTGGGCATAGGCTGGGGGGCTGCATGTTTCATCACAGCCTCAATAGCATTGGCTTGGCATGAGCTGCGGGAACTGGTGGTGTGGTGTTCATCGCATTCCTCAGCCGAGGGGTTATTCATATTCAAATCTCCTGGGGGAAAGCAGGCAGGGTGCTGGGAACTAGCTGGGAGAGGTTGTGGTTGGGACAGGGGCTGGGGGTGGGATTTGCAGGAGAAGGAGATGGGGTCAATGCTGAAATGGTCCTGGGGAAAATGGCAACGAAAGAGGAAGGGAGGGGGTTTCCAGGGAAAACTGGAGAGTTTTCTGCAGGTATTACTATGCTTTAAGGCACAGGCAAGGCTCTGCTTTAAAGGGATGCACATAGAGACTAGTGAGCTGGCATGACAACAGGGCACACTGGCTCATTTGTCCCCTCCTGTAACCCTCTGGGCACGTGGCTCTGAGTCCAAACAGTGCCTGGCACTGCAGGTCTGGAACCAGACAGGGACCCTGGGTGGCACGGATGGGACCGCGCTTGTCCAAGCCAGCCGAGGGGACAGAAACGCCATCCAAATTACAGCTGTGAGCTGATGCACTCCTCTGGTGTCCCAGCTCCTTCCCAGCAGCACAGCCCTCACACAGATGCTGCCGCCTGGATCAGAATTTGTGCTGAGGGAGGAGGCAAGGGGGAGCATCTCAGGTACTGACAGCTCTGAGTGGGAACCACACGGCCCGGGGCTGATTTTCACACTCCTTCTTCTGCGCCTCCTGCCCACGTCCTCCCACCTCCCAAACAGGCTCCTTCCGTGCATCCTCCCCTTACACCCCCCAGCTCCTCCCTACGTCCTGGATGCTACCTGCTCTCTCGGCATCTGCTTCAGAGGGAAACCACACGCAGGAGCGGGCTCACCTGAGTCCCTTTGTTCATTTTGCAGAAACCATTTAATTGCTTTACTGCAGTTAACGGCATCTCAGAGAGCCGGAGCAGTGGGAGTCAGACCTACCAATGCTCTGAGCATCCCCAGGCTCCTTCAAGCTTGGCTGCAGAAGGTGAGGTGAATGCAGCGGAAATGGCTGGAAATTGATTTTTAGGGCCAAGGCAGCTCCAGCAGGATGGGGCAGCCAGGGGTGCAGAGCTGCATCCTTAGGCTGTGGGCATCAAAGGCTGCCAGACGGGCAGCCTGCCTCATGGAGACACTGCTGAGTCCTGGCAGGGGACAGGCTGGGCAAGCGCAGGCAGAGACCTGAGCTCTCAGATGCAGAGCATGACTCCAAGCCCAGCCTGACCTCCCCCAGGAAAGCACCGTGGGCTCTCTGGGCTTGCAGACACCCAAGCCCTGCTGAGTGCTCACCCGTTCTTTCTGCTAACAGATTCAAGCTGAGGACCAGGAGCTGGCAACCTTCTGCGGCAGGGAGACAACAGACACAGAGCAGGCTCCTGGCCAGCAAGTGATCCTGTCCCCAGGGCCCTACATGGGGCTCACATTCAGGTCTGACTTCTCCAACGAGGAACGCTTCACTGGCTTCGATGCCCATTACACTGCCGTGGGTAAGCAGCAGTTAAGCCTGCAGGACTGGCTTGCTAGGGTAGCACAATAAATTTCCTAGGATCACATCCCAGGGCAGCTTTGGGGATGCTAGCAAGAGAAGTCCTTGTGTGCAGCCCTTGGGCCATATGGGACTTGCTGGGTGCTCGTGTGACCCACCATGTGGGACAACTAATTTCTCAGTGCTGTAGCAAATGTCCCCATGAGGAGTGATGCGTGGGGGGCTGCAGGGTGACCTCCCTTCCTTGTTATCTCCATTCTAGATGTGGATGAGTGCCTGGAGAAAAGTGACGAGGAGCTGGCGTGTGACCACTACTGCCACAACTACATCGGCGGGTACTACTGCTCCTGCAGGTTCGGCTACATCCTCCACTCTGACAACAGGACCTGCAAAGGTACCACCCAGGCACAGCTTGGACGTGGGGACGGTCACACAGAGGGGTCCCTGAGCAGGTCAAACGCAGGCAAAACTGCCCTCTTTTGCTGCCAGGAGGGATGAGGTGCCTCTTCCCCTACAAACCAATAGCCTGAGACTGGAGGGCACCCAAGGCCTGCACTCCTTTTGCACAGGAAGGAGATGTGGTTTCTCCCATGGGCTGCGGTCCCCAGCTAAGCACTATAGACCTTCTCAAGTCAGAGAAATTAAAAGGTTTGGTCTCTGCTCTGAATCTGCATCACATAGATTAGCTGGGATTAGCGCTCAACCCAGGACCTCTATACCACAGGCGTATTTGGAGGTTGGCTGTGTGAGGTTCTTCTTGCAGGGACCCATATCTGGTGTCCATGGACTCACCCAGCAGACCCTACTCTACTGGGAGGGCTCCTGAGTATGATCAGGCTGGGATGTGGCTGGCAGGGCCCTGAGCGAGCCATGGCTGTGTTTCAGTGGAGTGCAGCGACAATCTCTACACCCAGAGGAGTGGGGTGGTCACCAGCGCCGACTTCCCCAGCCCCTACCCCAAAAGCTCGGACTGCCTGTACCGCATCGAGCTGGAGGAGGGTTTCTTCATCACCCTGAGCTTCGAGGACAGCTTCGACGTGGAAGACCACCCCGAGGTGACCTGTCCTTATGACTACATCAAGGTGAGCTGGGCTCTGCACACTCCTCCTGTCCCACTCTCCTGTTGTTTCTCTGGTGATGGGACCAAAATTGCCCTGATCTAAACAAGGGTGATGAAGCCAGCAGGAGCCCTGTGCTTAACTGACCCCATGTCTCTTACCATGTCTGATTTTGACCCTCTCAGCCAATAGTGACCCTCTTTCAGTTCACATCCCCCCCAACATGTGGTGCTTAAGCCCCACTGAACCCACTGCAGCCCCATCCATTAGCCTCAGGGTGAAGCGATCATCAGGGATCAAAGATCCCCCTCAAACCACCCACTCTTCTTTGCCTTGGCAGATCAAAGCTGGACATAGGGAGTTTGGCCCTTTCTGTGGAGAGAAGTCCCCAGGACGCATTGAAACCCAAACCAACAGTGTGCAGATCCTCTTCCACAGTGACAACTCGGGAGAGAACAGGGGCTGGAAGCTGGCATACACAGCAATTGGTAACTCCTGCTGCTTTTTTCCATTTGCTGGGCTTGGGCAGTGAGAAGGGCTTTATAAACCTTGCAGGTGGAGACCATGAGTTTGGTCATCCATGATCCTGTCTTCAGAAAGGGTCTGTTCCAGGAATCACAGGAAGACAGGAATAAAATAACATGGAGCCCTCCCTTCAAAGGGTGCTTCTTTTGCCTACATCAGATGGGCCCTGAAACAAGACCACATTGCAAAGCAGAGCAGTTTTGGGCAGGGTAATTGCACAAGTTACTGTTATTAGCTCCCAGCTTTGCAATGCCCAAAGCCAGGGTATTACAGATGGGAGGAAAGACCTGGAGCCTCCATTCCTTCTAGGAGAAGAGCCTGGCTGAGCCATGCCAATGTAGTCTGATAGCAAGAGCAGGGCAGGGCTGTTCACACTCTGCTATATGGACTGGGTGGCAGAGCTGGGACTCTATATTTCCTCCATTTATTCAGCTGAGTTTTGTTTTGTTTCGTTTGCTTTTTATTCAAAGGAAACCCATGCCCACTTGTGCAACCACCGATCAATGGGAAAATTGAGCCTTCCCAAGCCAAGTACACCTTCAAAGACCAGGTTGTCATCAGCTGCAACACCGGATATAAAGTACTGAAGGTATGGGGTGACGGTGTGGAGCTGGGCACCTGGATAAGAAAGGGAGGATCCTTCCTCCCAAATCCGTTGCATCTCTGGGAGAGTGAACACAACCCACACACCATCCTTACCCCTTTCCCAGGGGCAAGGAAAAAGCCTCCTCTGAAAGCCACCAACTTTCCTTTCCAAAGACAGAGAGGAAGAGCCACCCTTTCAGCATCCCTCCGGAGCTGGCCAGCTCACAGCTCAGAGGCTTGGCACCTCTGCCAGAGAAAAAGCCAGCAAAAGCCCCGAGGGAGCTGCCAGGGCTCTGCCTGCTCCCCACCTCAGAGGGTGCTGGCTCAGCTGCCCAGACAGGGAGGTCCTCCAGGACTTTGGGACAGCTTCGGCAAGTCAAGGGGGCCGGGATTTTGGCAGGCCCTCTCCGGAAAACAGCTGAGAACCGTGGGGAGCACGGGTGACTCACAGGGTGGCTGTCTTCCCTCCAAACCAGTAGTCCGCTTTGACTTCCGACATGGATCTGGGTATTTCTCTGATCTCCTCCCAGCCTCATCCTTCATGCAGAGCTGCCTCCTTACCCATCTCAGCACCTAGAACAGGAATAAATTACTCCAGCTCTTTTGCATTCAGCACGCCACTATGTTGCTGGCAACAAGTTTTTCATTATGATTTTATTGCAATTTTTAGCTAGAAAAGTCCTCTTCCAGGGGGGTCTGGATATATCTTGACTAAATCACCAAGAAATTGCCTTTTTGTGGAGAGATTAATGCCCTTGTCTTGTACACTGATGTTGGGTTTTTTGCTGGCATCTTCTGCACAGGATAACCTGGAAAGCGACTCCTTCCAGATCGAGTGTCTAAAGGACGGGACATGGAGTAACAAGATCCCCATCTGCAAAAGTAAGGACACCCTTCCCCACCCTGCCAATGTCCTTTTCCTGCTGAAATCATTTCATGCTAAAGGCAGCTGCCCTGCCAGAGCGGAGTTCCTTGCTCAGAGACACAAACCCAGCCAGAGAGGCTACGTAACTCTGCAAAGCTCTTTTGGCTCATTCTCGGATAACATAACGGGGCTTGCTCCAAATGCCGCAAGCAGGACGTTGGTGCTTTTATTTAGATTACTCATATAACTTGATTTGCGAGCCGCTTTGCTGTCTCCCTGTCAAATAGCAAGCCAGGCTTTTGAGAGCTGGCTCTGTTGGCTAAATCTGGGACAATTTGGGATAATCTAATTCCTGGTCCAAATTTCCTTCCCAATGGAGACTACTAAGACCTAGGGCATTAGAGATGTCCCAGGTACTAGCCTAAATTGGGCGCTGCTCAGCTAAGTGAAAGGGGAGAGAAAAGTTGCCCAAATATTTACAAACCTTAAAATGGGAGAAAAGGGGAGGAGAAAGGAGATGCCATTTGAAAGGATGGGTGACGATTTGGATCATCTCTCCTTTCATCTAACCCAGCTCCTCTCTCAGCTCAGGCTTGGGAGATGTACCTCGTAATGCCTTTTCCCTTTCCCCCAAACACCCTCAGCCCTCAGGGAGGCTCTCACTGCTGCCCAGTCTGCTGTAAGGCTGGCCCAGAGAGGAGAAAAACAGCAAACACACTCAGAGAAGGTCCCAAGACCTTCCAGGAGAGGCAGGATGAGATGCTCTCAAGGGATGTTGGGATCCAGACTCTCCTCATCCGGGCGGATCCATTTCTTTTCATGATATTGTGGATATTACCTTAGAAGAATATTTCTGGAGTTTTAATTCATGTTTTCTCACTCAAAATGGAAACTGGGAGGCTCTCAGACCTGCTAAATAGATTCATATCTGAAAGGGCTCCTTAGAAAGTGTGGGGTCAGTGATGCCTCTGCCCTACCAAAGAGCTCCCCACTCCTATAACTCCCACTGCCACAGTCTCCCATTGGTTTTATCCAGCTTGAACTGGAACTCACTTTATCAGCAATCAGATAAAAATTGGCATTGTCTAGGAAAAAAAACCAAAAATCAAGGTAAATATTTTTAACCTCAAAAAGTATTATTTTTTGGAAAAAATTGGAATTATTACCTGCATTATTCCAGCTGGGCTGGAACTGATCCCTTCTTGTGTGATATGACTCACTACACGAAATTTCTAACACTTATTTTGGAAAGCCAAGAAGCCCCTAAATGGGCAATTCAGGCCTCCAAACTGCAATGCCTCCCACCTACCCGGGATGTCTGAGAGAGCCAGGGCACAAGCAAAAATGGTTTTAGAAAGCAATGCAGAAAATAGAAAACTTCCCAGCCAAGGTGGATAAAATCCAGCTCCGTGGCCTGGCGAGGCTAAAGACAAACCTGTGACGGCTTCTCCCAGCCACTGTCCCCAGGTCGCCCCAGCCAAGCAGAGCGAGCGGGTCCAGGGCACAGCCGTGGCATCCATGGTGGCTTGGCTCGCCCGGCACTCATTAACGATTTCTGGTGATTTGGGGGCTGGGTTTCCTGCATGCCTCTCTCTGCTCATCTACTAATTGGGCTTTCTCTCTCTGCTCTCCTCCTTCCCCTCTGCTTTCGGTGCAGCTGCAGATAGAGCCGACAACCAGACAGAGGGAAGAGCCGGCTCGGAGCAAGTGGCCGCGTGAGGCTGGCACCGGCCACGCCGCCCCGACGGGCAGCCTGTCTCGATGCCCTCTCTGATCTGTCCGGTACCCAGGGCAGGTCCCCTTTGCCCCTGGCCCAGCTGCCAAATCCATCTCCATGGCTTGTCTAACCGGCATGGCACTCTTAACCCCCCCGCGCCTTGGTGCTTTCTTAACTCCGTCTTGAGAAGGGGGAAGGAAATTCGGAGTCGAGCCCCTCTTTCCCACTGCCACGCAGCCCCACGGGAAGGGTGCCTGCCGGGCCCTGGCACTGCTGCCCGGGGACTGCACGCTGCCGCCAGCTCCCGGCACATCCTCCGCATCCCTCCCTCTCCACTCGGATGCCTCGGCCTGGCTCGGCTCCCCCTCCAAGGCGGCAGTTGCGCAAGGAGCGCGGCATGGCCGCCTGGCTGTTTGTTTGTTTGTTTGGATTCAGCCTCCTGCTGCCCTTCTTCCCCGGCCCAACATCGCAAATAAGAAACACTCCTTCCTCTCATCTCTCTGAGAGTCCTGGTGCCTTTCAGACCCTCCGGGCAAGGAGGCCTGGAGGATGGGTTGGCATCACCAGCCCTTTCCTGCAGGCACTGAGCCCTGGCACCAGCACAGGGGGATGGATGCTCCTTCACCTCCCCACTACTGGCCTGGCGGAGGTGAGGATGGGCTGGTGTCAGGCTGACTGCACCTGAAGGAGGTCAAAGCCTGGTGTCTGGCCCCACTCGTGTCCTCAAAAGCCCAGGGCGTGCAGCCTGGACTTCCCAAGGCATCAGAGGCTTCACTGGGAGGATGCTGCGGTGTGGACCAGAGGCTGGGAGAGGAGGAGAAGGTGCGTGTTGGGGAGCTTGGTCCACCTCTGGTCCTACAAAGACGGAGATGCTAAATGGCCCTTTTCCCAAGGCAAAAGTCTGGAAAGCCTCACGGCACAAACTCCCGCCCCTCACCCTTTCAGCAGAACCCGGGACGCTGGTGGGGCAACATCTCTGTGCAAGAGCCCATTCTCCAGGCATCAGGCTTGCCCCAGGCCCGGGGTACACACAGGGAGGGGATGGGCTGTGCAGGCCAGTGGATGCTGCCCTGCAGCCATAACCAACCCCACAGCAGGTATCCCAGCCAGGCTGGTCCCTCAACATCCATTCCCTCCTTCCTGCAAGCCCCAGCATCCCCCAGCACCTTAGAAAAGTCCCATGGTTGCTGGCACCATGGCACAGGACCACTGTGCACCCAAGCACCACGGGAAGACAGCAGGAAAGCTCAGGCCAGCTGGGGACCCCCAGGGCTCGTGAAAGGGGTCTGTGTCCCCTCCTCTACCCCTCTGCAAGGCACAGGTACCCGGAGCCACCACCCAACCTGACTGCATCCACACACCCATCCCATCACCTGCTATCCCTAGGGGGGGTGGAGAGGACCCTGGTGAACAGTGAGCTGCAGCGTTTTGCCATAAACCAGGCTTTTTTCACCCAAGCATGTGGTTAACCCTGAGCATCAGTACATGTCCCTGGTGCCAGCTACTGCTTCTAGTGAATTCTCTCTTAGTTAGTCTGGATCACTGCATGAGGATTTAGGGCTCCTATCTTTGCCCCCTTCCCGTCCTGGAGCACACAAAGACTCACAGAGCTCATGCCATCCCCGATCCACAGGACTTGCTTTCTGCAAAGTCACCCATACCCTACTCAACCCCTCATCTTAAATGTGGCAGATTCCAGCTCCACAGCACTGCATTTCCCAGCAGGATCAGACCCCAGTTCCTGCCCTCCCCTGGGGCAGGTGCCCCAGGACGGGGCAGGGGGGAGCTCTACAGCATTGTCCAACTGTGCTGTGAACTGCCCACATGGCAGGGAGCCGCAGCTCCCACGGGGTGTCTCCTGGTTTTGTTGGATGAACTACCTTGCAGCCTGGGGTCCTTCCTGGGGTGGGTGGCACAAGCCCAATCCAGGGGACAAGCTGGGGAGGAGAGGCTGGGCAGGGCACTGTGAGGGATGTGAGTGAGAAAGGGGACAATGGACAGGCCATGGGAAAGGGCAATGGCACCCTAGAAATCCTTCTTCCTCCACCAGACCCTGAGCCCACACCAGGGATGGGTGAACCAGAGCCAAAACTGCCCATGTGCTGGAGGATGGAGCAGGTGGGATCTCTCCTACATCTGCTGGCTTTGCCCCTGCCTGGAGACCAGCCAAGCCATGCTCTCAGTGTCCCTTACCTCCTGCCATCACAGGACAGCTGGGACCTAGGGTTGCTCAGCCTGATCTGTAAATGTTTATCAGCACTGTTTGGAGAGCAAGACCCAGAGCAGGAGGGATGGGGCCATGCTCTCAACAAAGCCCTGTGCATAGAGGAGCACTCCTGATGCATGGCGTAGGTTAGTGAATCACTGCCTGCTTTTCCTGCCCACTCTGAAGGGATGCAAAGACATACTCTTGGACCATCTCTCAACAGATCTCACCTGCCGGAGCAGGTTTCTTGCCCTCTCAAAGGTATAGCAGAGAGATCTCACACTAAATGAAGTGCACAGAAGGGGCTCCCAGGACTGGGGTCTCCACCAGCATGAGTGGTGTTGGCCATACGGCCTGTGGGTGAGCCGTGTTGCTGGTGTTCAGCGGTGCTGCCCGCATGCCCTGTCTTTGCAGGGTGGCCGTGGTGGGGTTTCACGGGGCCAGGCTGCCCTGCCTGGGGACAGCCTCCTGCTGCCATCTCAGGCCATGTCAGGCTGTGCCCCCTGCAGTACCCCAGAGAAAGGGGATACAGGGCTATACGGGCCCTCACTCTGCCCCATAGGACCACCATCACGTGCCTGCCCGCTGGCTGGCTGGACACCCCAAGAAAACACACAGGGCTCAACCCCCCTTCTGTGTTGGCTTTCAGTTGCTGACTGCAAAGCGCCGCTGGAGCTGGAGCATGGCTTTGTCACCTTCTCCTCCAGGAACAACCTGACCACCTATCGAGCAGCCATCCAGTACCACTGCCAGCACCCCTACTACCACATGGCCCCCAACAGCACCGGTGAGCAGTGGGGCCGGGCCGCATCCCCACGGCACGGTGCGGGTGGGCGCGTGGCCATGCATGTGTGCGTTTGCAAACGGGGGGAGCTTGGGATGGCTGCTCTGGGATGCTCTGCAAGCAGCGGGCTGTGGATGTAGCCTACACACATCATACCCTGCGTCTACACTGCCTGGATTGTCAGACTGGCCGCATCCTGCTCCGCAATGAGGTAGGATGGAGTTAGCACTGTCTGGTACTTTGCGTGTGTGTGTTTCACAGACTTGGCAGAGCAGTGTGGTTGTTGTTCTGCACTCTGCCTTCTCACCCTGCCATCTGCTCTCTACAGCATATGAAATTTTCTGTGTCTCTGTGAAAGGAGCTGCTGCTGGAGAGAGGACCTCATCCAGCAGCCTCAGAAAGGCCTCCACAAGGCTCCCCATCCCAGTACCCAAAAGTCAAGCATAGCCAAAGCTGAACAGATAGCAGTGGGATCATGGCAGACTGAGTTTCCCCTTTATCCCCCTGGTCCACGATCAAAAGACATCACAAGGTGCTTTGCCAGGCACCACATGTCCCTGCACCCTTCAGACCCAGCTCTGGGCAGCAGCAAGGGTGTGCACACACCCCAGCCCTTCTTCCTCCTCCTCCCTCAGCAAGCACAGCCAAAGGATTTCCTCACATTCCTGTCTCCATGCTCATATTCCCGTCTCCCTGCTCATATTCCCCTGCACACCCACTGGCCCCGCGCATCTGGTCCCAGCATCCCTCATGCATTAGCGGAACAGGCGCTGGCAGTGTTAAAGGGGCAGCAGTTGCCAGCCGAGGCTGCGGGCGCAGCACAGCCCTCCAGACAAATCAAGGCAATGAAACCAAGGATGGTGGCATGTCCCCGCATGGGGGCAGGGCTGCCAGGCCCCCCACAGGGAATGGAGTACAGCGAGCGTAAAAGGGAGGTCACCTCCTGCTCTAGAAAAGGGTTCAAAAGGTCCTGACAGCTGGGCAACATCTCCTCACTGCAAAAGACACCCCGTCATGCCAGGGCCACAGCCCAGCTAATGCTTTGTTCTCTTCTAGCCACCTACACGTGCGATGCATCAGGGGTATGGAGGAGCGAGGAGCTGGGGACCAAGCTGCCATCCTGCCGACCAGGTACTACTGCTGGGGTGGCCGGTTCCAATGGCAAAGGGTGCGGAGCAGGGACATGCAGGGGGAGGATGCCTCCATGCCTGACCTGAACTGCTGCTTCCCTAGGCAGGGACCCTGTTCCCTGGTGGCAATGCCATATGCCTAGGCTATGTGTTTCCAACTGCTTCAGTGTATGGCCAGGAGGGTGATGGGGACAGAGGCTTCCTGCTATCCCAGCTAGCCCAGACAGTGAGGGTGCAGTGGTGGCACTGGGCAACAGTGATGAGGGCATGTGTCCCTGGCAGTGTAGAGCAGCAGTGGGGTCACAGCCATCTTGGCTGTCAGGGCTCACCAGGCTCTCTGCTCCAGCAGACAAGGAAACCAGCAGCCCCAGGGCAGACCCCACTGGCCATGTTCAGCCCCCAGCATCACCAGAGATGGTTCCAGCCAAGGGCAGAGCATTACCTGCCCAGCGCCACTGGCTGTCAGCTCCCATTAGCAGTGTATCCACATGCAGAAGCAATTAGCACCTCTCCAAGCCTTGCAGAAAAACCCAGCCACTTTGCAGGGAAGGAAAAGTCCCAAGCCTTCGAGCAGTGGCAGAAATGTTTGCAGCCAGCAAGTTTCCAGGCCAGGCGCCCACTCGGGATTAAACAAAAGTCCCTGGGATGTTGGCTGGCCATAGCCAAGTGTGGGGCCAGGTCTGGCTGCCAGCCAGGGCAGCTGGAGGCAGCTCCGGGTGCAGGTTGTGGTCGGATGTGCAGGGACAGCTCTCCAGAAAGGTGCAGGGATCTGGCTGCCGTGCAGCAGCTGCAGCTGCAACCACTCTGGGGTTCGGGAGCTGGCTCAGCCCCATGGAGGGTATCTGCTCTCCGGCCATGCTGAGGGACAAGGCCAGAGGAGGGACCCCCTGAGATTCCCGGTATCCCACGGAGCTTCAAGACCCGGGCTGTGGCTGCTCTTGATGCGGCGGCTGCTCCCTGCATCTCTCCTTGATGTTTCAGCCTGAACTAATTTGAGCCGGGAGCATACGGGGACATCTTTTGGGGCCATAGCTGCTTTCATGGGCCATTTCCAGGCCTCCTGATTAGTGACAGAAGTCAGAGAGACTTCAGGAAAATGGAAAATCCCAGAGAGAGGGTGACGCTCTCCTGAGATCAGGATCTGCAGGCAGCAGCTGGCCAGCTGCTCTTCAGATCTTTCCCCCTGTCTCACGCCACCTCCTCATCAATAGAAACTCCTCTTCCAGGCCACTCCACGCCTGCCTCTGCCATTAGTGGGAGCATTTGCAGCCTGGTCAGCATTTTTGATATGTAATTTAATAGAATAAATATTTGGCTGGATGTGCTTCCTCTAAAACCATCTCCCTGGGACAGCCGTCAGCTTCGTTGCAGCAGACCAGCTGGGCTGGGCTGGGATGCAGGAATTATTTGCCCGAGCATGTTTTCTATTCCTTGCAGCACTGGGAAAGGCAGGGGAGCCCAGTGGAGCACACGCAGAGACACTTACCATGCTCCCTCCCTGCCGGAGTCGCAGTTTTCCTAGTGGCAGACCCCAGCCACAACAAATCCGCATTAGCATCTCCTGGTGCTCCTGCCCTGGTTCCAAGGCTGACTCTCAGCCCTGATCCCATCACCCTGGGGGGTCAGATTCTCTTTCTGTGAGGCTTTGCATCCTCCCCTTGCAGCACAGGGGGCATCAGGGCAGAGTCCTGGCACTTTCCATGGAGGATGTGGATTCTCTTTGCAGACTCAGAGGGATGAGAGCAGCACCAGAGCTGCTGTGATTCGGGACTCTTCCAGCTGTAGAAGGGCAAGCCCAAATTGGCTCCCACAACCTCCCAGTGATATCAGCACCCCCAAGCAACCTGGGAGTCCCCCTCCACAGTGCTACCACAGGCATGAACCAGCCCCACCATCACCAACTATGTCCCAGGGCTTAAGTTCCCCAGGGGGAGGATTGTCCCTGCCCACCTTGTCTAACCCTCTCAGAGCCACCTTCAGCATGCTGTGTCCCTCCTCTTCCTCATGCCATGTCACAACATCTGTATAAAGCTCCTGGAGGCAAACCAGGCAGTACATCAGGGCTCTTCAGACATTAATTCTGGGTCTGTTGAGGAGCTGAGCAGAGGGATGCTGCTTTGACCACCAGAATTGTGGTGAGGACTTGAGATGCAGGAGTAAAGCCCATGGTGCTAGGCAACATCCCACGGCTGAGCCTTCTCCAACCACAGCTCCTCTGGGAGGGCAAATGCCATGGCCATGAGACCACAGACCTTGTGACGGGTCTCAGAGCGAAGGGTGAGGCTGGGCTGATGTCAGGCTCCAGTCCTCCCACTGGTGTTCCCTTGGGTTTCTTGGCACACTGAGCAGGAGCTGAACAAGTGGCTGGATGGTCTGGGAAGGACTGAGCAAGCTCACAAGCCACAGTGAGGCTGCAGGATTATTCATTTGGCCTTTCTGCTTCTGAAGTGGTGTGGACCCAGCCAAATCACTCTTGAAACTGAACTGCAAGGAGAGGAATTGCAAAGTGCAGGCTGGCCCTCAAGCCATCTCCTTGTCACACCTACCAGCTCAGCCGTACAACAACCCTTTAAGTCACAGCCCTGTTTTACTGCAATCCAGGCTTGGCAGAAATCATAGCACCTGTCAGGTCTTCAAAACAGCAGAAGGATCTCTCTACTTGCCCTTCCCTAAGGAATCCGGTAGCACTATGGTCCCCACCTGGAGCACAGATCACATAGATGGAAACCAAGACTAAGGTCTGATACTACTTACAGTCCTTGAAGTCCCACCCTGGCTCATGTGTTTTGCTGAATCCATGCCTGACTTCAGTGTCAGGAGATGTGGTACAGCTTTGGGGTAGCTAACCCTGGATGAAAGCCTCCTCGGCACCATAGTGTGCTATACACAATTCTGACTGTCCATATTCATGCGCAGTGGGCAACAGCTCACTCTTTACATCAGATGAGCCTGTTATTTGCAGGATAAATCCTTCAGCCTCTCTGGAGTAGAGGTCCAGCACATGGGACCTTGGCACAAGCCCACCCTTTTCATCAAGGGCTCTCCACCTCCCTTCATGACAGGGCCATGTGTGCTACAGCCCTGCCCTGACAAGTACCAAAAGGTTGACCCTTCCCAAGCTCAGTGGAGACTCTTCGGGCCTGAGACACACCTGGGCTGGTAACCAGACGTGTGCCTAGAAAGTCCATGGTCTCATGGCCAAAAGCATTCACACCATCCTTTCACAGCCTATAGCAAGGGTGAGGAAGGAGAAGGCAGCTGGGAGGCTACATTTTTGGAGCAAACTTGGGACTAACTGGGCCTTAACTGCAAAGAAACATGCTCTGTGCTCCAAAAGTATTGCTCATACAGCAGAGATAGCACTGAGGTCTCCTGGTTTCATGTTTAACCCTCAGGTGTAGAGAAACATAGGGTGGCTCCCACTTCACAGAAGAAACTGGACAACCCATGCAGGCTTCAGACTGGCCTCTTTGTCCATGACTAGCTTCACAAGAGCTGAACAAGGTCACCCCAGCATCCTTACCGAAGAGCAATAGATTGCCCCTTTTCCAGGAGGGCAAACTGCTGCCACCAGAAATGGTTCCATCAGGCAAGTAAGACACAAAAGGAGCTGGGGCTGTCTTTAGTGAGCAAAACCCTTCAGGACAGATGTGTTCCTTTCCCAAACATACCTCCAAAGACCTGTTAGCATAGGGGAATGGGTGTAATGCCCAGCCTCCTCCAAGCTCTGAAGCACACTCTGCCAGAAGAAGGTAAACATGGCAGGGAGGATGGGCTTTATCCACTGAGAAAAGGAGAAGACTTGCCCTCTATAGAAAAAAAAGACACAAGTGAGTGTTTGGTTTGAAGATAACCAGCCATGTGGCATAATCTACAGGAATGTCCCTTTTCATTTGTTCCCTAGATAAGTGCTGGGAGTAACTGTCCTGTCCTTTTTGTCCCCAGTGTGCGGCCGGCCAGCTCGTCCTCTGCCTGGGATCATCAAGCGCATCATTGGCGGGCGAAACGCAGAGCCCGGCTTCTTCCCCTGGCAGGCCCTGATTGTGGTGGAGGACATGTCCCGGGTACCCAATGACAAATGGTTTGGCAGCGGGGCCCTGCTCTCAGACTCCTGGGTGCTGACAGCCGCCCACGTGCTCCGCTCCCAACGGCGAGACAAGACCGTCATCCCTGTCTCCAAGGAGCACGTCACTGTCTACCTGGCCCTTCACGATGTGAGGAACAAGATGGAGGCCGTCAACCGGACAGTGGAGAAGATCATCCTCCATGAGGAGTTTGACATCCAGAACTACAACCATGACATCGCTCTGGTCAAGCTGAAGGAGAAGGTGACCATGGGGAATTATGTCATGCCTGTCTGCCTGCCCCAGTTTGAGCACGAGCTGGAGGGGCCTCACCCCAACACGCTGGGGCTGGTGGCTGGCTGGGGTATCTCCAATCCCAACATCACAGTGGACGAGATCATCAGCTCGGGCATGAGGACACTGTCCGACATCCTGCAGTACGTCAAACTGCCGGTGGTGCTGCATGCGGAGTGCAAGACCAGCTACGAGTCACGGTCAGGGAACTACAGCGTGACCGAGAACATGTTCTGCGCTGGCTACTACGAAGGTGGGAAGGACACTTGCTTGGGAGACAGCGGGGGAGCCTTTGTCATCCAGGACCCGGGAACCCGGAGGTGGGTGGCCCAAGGGCTGGTCTCATGGGGTGGCCCAGAGGAGTGCGGCAGCAAGCAGGTGTACGGTGTGTACACCAAGGTCTCTAACTATGTGGACTGGGTGGAGAAGAAAACAGGCTCCTCAGAGAGGTGGACATTTCTGGACCCAGAGCTGGAGAGTTGAGTGACTAATCAGCCTGCTGCCGCAGCTCCCTTTCTTCTTGTTGTTGTTGTTTAATGTACTCCAGACTCTGGTCTTTCGCAAGCGGTAGCCACGATGCTCAGCACACGCCAGGCCTTTGCCAGCCCTCCACGTCATTTGTTTCGCTTGGTCCCGCATCCCTTCTGTTGTGCTCTTAGGAAATGCTTGCTAGGGAGCTGGGGGAAGGGAGCGAAGGGCAAGAGGTCAGCCGGCATCCTCCGCTTGTGCTGCCCATCTCCAAGCCTCCACACTCCCGGGAGCCTCCCTCCAAGCCAGGACAAAGGCACAGCGATGGAGGCAGCATTTCCCTGCCACCAAAGATTTGGGCCGTGCACAGAGAATTGCCCCCACCCCTGGGGCTCTCTGGCCAGATCTTCCCATCAGACGACGCAACTGCAGGAGCTACAGAGGCTACAGACAGCGCAGGTAACCCAGCTGGGCAGGCCTGGACCTCACAGGTCCCCCACGCTGTGGAACACCTTTTCTGCACAAGGAGTAGTGAGAGAGCCCTGAGGGTTAACTATTATTTTTATTTGCAAACAAACATCCCTGCCTGATGGCATCTCAGGTGATGTCCACCTGGCCCTGGGGATGTGAGGATGCATCCACATTAGCCCTAAACTTCAGCCATGGCTGGAAAGCTAATGGCTGCCAAGACGGCACCAATCCAAACGGGCTACCCTTACCCCACCGTGTGGGATGGGTGCCCCACAGACGACACAAGAACAGGGAGCAGGGTTTGGACTCAGTGTCACCATCACCTCTAGACACCAAAACTTCTCCGACCCTCCATCACCTCAAGCCCTTTCCAGTCCTCTGCCCAGACTAGCTCCTGGAATGGTTTCCAGCCACAGTGGACCTCCCAAGGAAAGTTTTCCAACACACAAGACAGCATCACTTCTGCTGTACCTAAGCAATACTTATTTTCAGCAGAATAATTCCAGATAAAATGCCCTTCCTTGGGGTTTCACCTCTTCTTTAGGGGCCTGGGTAGTCCTGCATGGCAGTGTATTTATTCTTGCATGAACTTCGTCCCTTTTAACTCCCTTTAAGGCCATTGATTTGGCTGATTGACAGGTTGCTGATGGTGTTCATGGCTCCCCTGGCCTATTGCAGGTGTCCAAGTCATTCTAGACTGACCCCAGCTCACCTAACACACCAGAAGTATTCATGTCTCCCCAGCCTCCCTCCATGGCCCGTGCAGACAAGTAAGCCCCACCAAGGAACAAGATCAGGTGAGCTTGTCTTCCTTCAGCAGGGACATAATCTCCTTCACTTGCCAGCAAAGCCCTCCTATAGCTGTAAGCAACATGCAAAAATTGCCTGCTGTCCTCTCTGCATGCCTGTAGCCTCCTTTGGGCTTCTCCTCCTCCTCTTCCTTTGGTTTTGCCATGCAAGGAAAGAGTCAACAGTGAATGAACTACTCTGCCATTTTGCTATCGTCCAAAAAGCCATTTGTAGAGCACGTAGAGGAGCAGAAGGCCTAAGGAAGTTCAAACTTGCAGACACGCTAAGAACTGTACTCTTGGTTATGTCATGTAACTGCAAGGTATTTTTATATATATATATATATATATATATATATTTCTTTTTTGATACTACATTCTGTAAAATATCCAATGTCATGTAAGGATGGTTCTGTGTAATCTTCCTCCTGAGAACAAAATAAAACTTTGATATATAGTGAGTTTGTGCCCTGAGGCTTTTATTCCAAGAGGAACATGCTCAAGGCTGGTTGCTATTCTCTGCCATGCAGGCCTGCGCTCCCAGGGGGATTCTCACACTGTCCCTCACCCCAATGGCTGCTCAGCCATGGCCTGTGCAGCTTCATGGGCTGAGACAGACCCTGACCAGCCATGAATACAAATTGCAAAAAATGGCAACAGATGAGATCCTGTCCTTCAATTATTTATAGCCTTAGCACATCACTGAAGACGGGGGTGGTGGCAGGAGGAGAGTGCAGCAACCTGTATGCTGAGAATAGCAATTAAATCTGGGTTCAACTGACATGCAGAAAAAATAACAGGTATGTGACTTTTGCTTTAAAAGGGGTGAAAAATCACCCCATCCCCGCTAGCTGTTGGACTGAGAGACCGTGTCTTCACAGCAGAGGCTCTGCAGCAAGCACAGATGGGAGCTGAGGCAGCGACACAGCTCTGCTGGGCATCTCTTCTCTGCATCACAGGCTGTGAAAATCCAGCCTTTGGAGAGAGCTTAAAATCATGGGCACTGTTTCCTATCATGTGCCTGGATCCAGGGCTAAGAGCTGGGTTATCGATCCGTATTTTCCTATGGCACAGAACTGAAATAACAGCACCAGGCTCCTCTGGGTTGACAGCAGGGAGGAGGGCAGCAGGTCTGGCTCTCTCACTCACAGATCTGCTAACACGTCCAGAGACATCAGAGGGATGAAGGGGAGGAGAGAGAAAAAGCAAAATCAAGGCATGGTCCCCTGAGCATTAAACCATCATCTCTAGGATCTGAGCCTAGACAGCTCCAGGGCAAGTTAAAAAATACTGCTGCCCTATAATAGATCAGTCAAAAATACAGACTCTCCTCTGCCTCCCATCAATAGCTCTGCCAGGAAATCCCTGACGCAACCCAGCCCTCGCCCCCTGCTCATCAAGCTGCTGCGCTGCCAAGTGCCAACCCTTGTGCCTCGTGGCCACTGCATCTGGCTGGAGGGAGGGCTGGGAATGGGCAGCAGAGGAGAAAAGTGAGGGCAACAACAGGCTTTGCATTCGCTGGCACCTTGCAACCTGCTGGAGTGGTGGGAGCTTCTCTCCAGGGAGACAGGAGCAGAGACAGCAATTTATCAGTCTGGCTGTGGTGAAAGGCCAGCTAAACATCCCTGGGTGAGGTTTGCCCATCCCTGGCTGCGTTTGAGTGCCAGGCATAAGCTGAGAGTTGGCTGCAGCAGAGCCCAACCTCAGATGGACCAGAGGCGACAGCCAGGACCTGCTCAGGACCCACAAGGAGAGAAAGCATCCTTCATCCCTCAGCCGCTTTCCCCAGGATGGAGAAGTCACCATGCCAGCTGGGGGGCTGGCCACTGCTCACCATCCTTAGGGGCTGAGCTGAGCCTTGGAGGCTTGCTCTGGGCTCCAAAAGTGCCAAGAACCACAAAAAGCAGGACTTTGAGGGCAGTTTGCTAAGAAACAAGTGGGAGATGGGCACAATTGCACGTTGGAGAGGGTATCCTGGAAGAACCCAAAAATGAGGCCGTGGCTAAGAAGCCCGCGTATGCATGGGTGTCTCTGAGTAATGGGGAGGGGATGAAGGGGCTGCGTGATGGAGGGCACATGCACGCACAGCACAAGGCAGGCAAGCAGGCAGCAGTGGGGAGGGAACGGGAAAAAGCAGTATATGCACACAAGGCTGTGGATGGGGGAGCGCGGGGTGTGTGCAGAGGGCATTGCAGGGGAGCAAGGGATGGCTTTGCCCTTGTAAAAGAGCAGAGACCCAAGCAAGAAAATAAGGACCCCTGCAGGGATGTGGTCTCCACCAGAGTTGGCTTCCCAGGCGGAGGCGAGGGAGTTCCCCCTCAGCAGCCGGGTGGCTGGGGAGGCTGCAGACAGCCAGACGTGATGACTGGGGCTGGGAAAACCTCAGCATGGAAAGAAAAGGGCTACGGGCAATGGCAGCAAGAATCTTGGCCATGTCTCTGCTTCATGACATAATGCCGGCGGGGAGAGGGCGGGCTGCTCCCAGCACTGGGAGAGCCATGCAGGAGGGGAGTTGGTCCAGGCTGCAGGATCAGCCTCCTCCTCCCCAGCAGAGCCACTCAGCCCCAGGCACCCCAAGCAAGGAGGGACCTCCTCCAGAAAGACAGGTCCATTCAGATATAAGACTCTTTGGGTCCCACGCACTCCCTCAGCCACTGTTGCCCTGCCAAAAGTGCTTGGGACACCACTGATATTCACTCCAAGGGGGTGTCAAAGGGGGGACAGGTCACGCTGGCTCTGCTTCCCAGGGAAGTCCCTGCTGGTGGCATCACGCTGGTCCCCAGCCCTGCTGCCATGGCACCACTGTCCCCCAGGCAGAACTGGGGACCAGGAGGGGTTTGAGGCCCCACGCTTTGCATGTATGCATCTCAGTGCTCCGAGACTGGAAAATCACAGAGAGACACCAGTTCATCCACAGACCAGGACCGTACCCATGCAGTATATGGTTTGGGGGGAGCATGCTACAGGGAAGGAGCTGGGCACAGCGATGGGGGGGGGGGCATCCCCCATCTGGGGAATCCTGGCCTGTCCCAGTGCCGGAGGGTCACTGGTCCCAGTGCTTCCCAGCGCAGTGCCAGAGATCTCGCAGCTCCATCTGCTGGCGCCACGGCCAGGGCTGCAGAGGCTGAGGAGGAGGGAAGGCGCAGGGGAAGGAGAGTTGGTGGGATGAGCAGGACAGAGCACTTAAGAAACAAAATCCACATGGCCCCTGGATCATGCAGGGTTTTCTTGTTATTTTCATTTTTTTTGACCAATAGCCTGCAGGTTGCAGATACGAAAATATGAGAGAACCTTGCACTAGCAAAAAAACCAAACCCATATGAGCAGTGTAAAAGGCCCTGCAGAGCACAGCAAGGAAGAGAGCACCTGGGAAACTGCGTAGCCAGAGTCTGATGCTGTACAAGCTGCACTGATGACGCTGGGTTTGGTTATTGCCTTTCCTTCAGTCCATCTTTCTTCGTACCATGTCCATCTTCAACACCAAATCATTTGGAAAGTCAGGAGGGGATGGATGCAGCTGCCTCGGCGGCTGTGCAGGTCTGGCCCTCTTTGGACTTGTTTGACAGACAGCCCGAAAAACAGCCAAGTGCCCCAGGGCTCAGGTAGGGTTGCAAGCCATTTTACAGATGGGGAAACTGAGGCACAGCACAGCTGCACAAACTTGCCTAGCACCACCTGAGATGTGAGCATCTCTGAGGCTGGACCAGGCATGGGAGATGGGGGAAGCCTCCTGTTATCATACCGGTTTTACAGCTCATGAGAGAGGGTGAGACCCTGCCAGACCCTGCAGGGAAGGTAAGAGGCTGAGGGGTGTCAGGCTGCAGGGGGACAATAGGTTTCCTCCTAACTTTACGATGCCCACCAGGTCCCCTGAGCCCTGCAGGGTGAAGCAGCAGCAGGCAGGAGTCAGCACCCCTCCCTTTGCCCAGATCCTGTAGCCCAATAAGTACAATTTCCCTGTGATTGACTTAACAGGGCAGAGACTTGGGACTTGCTGCCACAGCCTTCTTGTGCTTGCCAACCTTGGGCACCCTTTGCCCCCACCACAGGGTGCCCAGCCAGCTGGGAGAGGTTTGTGTTTGCCAGGGTATTTTTCAGAGCCATAGTCATAGAATCATAGAATCATAGGATGGTTTGGGTTGGAAGGAATCTTAAAGATCATCTAGTTCCCCCCCCCCTGCCATGGGCAGGGACACCTTCCCCTAGACCAGGTTGCTCAAAGCCCCATCCAACCTGGCCTTGAACACTTCCAGGGATGGGACATATACAACATCTCTGGGCAACCTCTTCCAGTGCCTCACCACCCTCACAGTAATAAACTTCTTCCTTATATCTAATCTAAGTCTACCCCCTTTCAGTTTAAAACTATTACCCCTCATCCTATCACTACACTTCCTGATAAAGAGTGCCCTCCTGAAAGCTCAGCACCCACATGTTTCTGGACGATGATGCAATCCCCAGGTCCCTGGTGACACAAGGGACATTCATGGGTACATGGGGCCAGAGCAGATGCTGCTGTACACAGGTCATAGGAGGCAGTGCCAGTGTCCACTAGCACCAGCTGCCCATGACTTTGCTGCAAACCTCTAGCTCTAGGTGCCCCGCAGCTGCTTTGGGTGCCCAGTTCCACCAAGGCCAAAGGCAGGGGAGAATGGGGATGTGCCTCCCTGGAAGTTGAGCCCAGCTGGTGGATAAAGGCAGCCTCCAGCTTCCCTCCAAGCTGCTCACATGTACCTAGAAAAGGCTTTGGAGAAATTAAGAAGTACAAATGCATCCTTAGGCTGAGGAGAAAGGGCTTGTTTTATTCTTGCAAGTACCCTCATCCTTTGCATGGGGCAGCTGAGGGTCATCCTCATGAAGAATATGTCCCATAAGAAACCATCAGACCCACCAGGCTCCCCGAGGCTGTGGGACGAGGTGCGTGGCTGACGCACCCCGATGTGTCTCCCCATGCCCCAGCATCCAGGGAAGTCTCGCTGTGCCATGGGTGAGGGCTGACCTTGGGCATCCAATTTTCAGGCACTCCGTCAGCGCCCCCAGCCATCACCCTGGTTCCTCTTTGAGATCTCCAGCTCCCACTACTTCTCGGTGAAATAAAGCAGGATGAAGAGGAGCACTGCCAAAACACTGAGAAAAGAGCTGCCGATGCAGCAGCAGCATTTCCAGGGGAAGTTGCTACCAAAGGGCGAGGAGTGGTGGGTTGGGGTTGCATAGGGCCTCATGCCTTTGCGTTTCGGGGTGAGATGGGTCCTGGCCTTGTCCGCATCCATCAAGGGCTCCCAGGCATCCGACGCTGGGGCCAGCCGCTGTGATGCGCTGCAAACGCCGAGCTGGCAGCCCTCACAGCAGGCAGTGTTGTGTGGACCGGTCACCAGTGCATCCACCACAACTTCCAGTAGGTCGGAGGGTTGGACAGGCACGTGGTAGAAGTACTTGAGGATCTTTAGCACTAGGTTGTGCATAAGCCTCTCCATAGTCTCCTGGCTGAATTCGGGCTCCTCCAGCCGGGGGTCGGGGCACCGCCTGCATGCCTGGCGAAAGGCTCGCATCCACACCGTGCCCTGGCCCCGGTGCCGGCTCATGTGGAACAGCATGTGCACTTTGGCCGAAGACCACTCATGAAAGCATTGGGAGCACCGAAACCTGCCAGGGCATGGAGGAGATCAGCTCATCCCAGGCTCCCTGTGCTGAGCCCCCAGCTTTCCACGTGGTCAGTAGGGACCACGGCAGCCAGGGATCATGGATTAACTTCACTCATGCAAGCTTTACACTGAACTGTTGTCCCCCTAACAGCATGATGCCAATCTGGGGACTTCAACACAGGTGTGAGCCCAGGGCTGGCCCCAGCATTAAAGATTTTAGGAGCCAGGCTGCCTGCTGGGCCCACTCTGGTCCTCTCTCCTAGACCATCCTGGCCCCACTGCCAGGAGCAGGGGTCCTGGGGGCGGGAATCATCAGGCCCCAGGTATATTTGGGGGTCCAGCCCCTTACTCGTGCTGGCTGATCACAGCTCAGCAGAAAGCCAACAACAAACCCGGGGCTGGGGAAAGAAAAAAAAAAAAAAAAAAAGAAGAAAAATAGAAGGAAGGTGTCGGTGGAGGCTACAGGGCAGGTGAGGACATGTCTTGAGGAGTCGAAAGGTGTGTAATCTGCAGGTCTTCATCTTGCACCATCTGCGTGGGGGCTGGCAGCCAAGGTCTCCATTTGCTGCCACCTGGGCAGAGTGTCTGGTCGACACCCGGGGTCCTGCCTGGGGTGGAAATGGTTGGGATGGGGCCTCTCATCAGCAATGCAGGGCCACAGCCTCTCTGTGCTCCAGGACCCCGCAGTCTGGCACAGATGCAGGGACGGCTGAGGCATCACCCCATGTCCCAGCAGACAGCGGCTCTTCCTCTCCTCATCCTCTGGGTGCAAACCCAGAAGATTTGGCTCTAGTGTGGTATAACTACCCCTGCTCACCAGAGGAGGTCTTTGTATCTTGACACCAACATGGAGAAACTCTGGCCAAATACCAGCTGCCCTCTGGCCCTATGGAGCTGCCACACTCCTCTCCCCTCCAATTATTGTGATTTTTTTCCAGTTTGGCAATAACCCACCAAGCTTGGAACAAAATGGGAAAGCCCCTCACAGCCTCACCCACCTTCAAACTGCCCCTTTCATGTCAAAAGCTGTTTCCTACAAGCAAACTTTGAGAAAGGGGGAGGTCTTCATGGTAGCCCATCGTCCCTGGTGGCACTCCGACAGGGACCGAGCCGGCAGCTCCCTACCTCCCAAGAGCACGGCGCTGCACAAACTCCTTCCAGCCAGGCTTGAGGACGTGCACCTGCAGGGTATCATCCTCCTGAAGTGTCCATGGCTCTGTTAAGTGCATATCTGCAGTTTTCACTGCAAAAATGTCCTGCCAGGTCCCCATGATCCCACCTGGAGCTGGGGAAGAATCAGTGACCAAGCTTGCAGGTCAAGCTTGCAGCTTCTGAGTGATGATACATGTATGCAACTGTCTTTTCCCCAAACTTTTCCTCTTTGCACGTCTTTGTGCTTGGAGAGGGGAACCTTTGCTCCCGCATGAGCAGCACCGCCCCATCCCGATCCCTGTGTCAACAGGCTCTGCTGACGCTGCACCAGGTCCTGGCTGGGTGAAATGTCCCCCAAAGCAAGGAGAAGGTGGGTTTCCCCAAGCCCCACACATGAACCCCTGACCCTGCTGAAGCCGTGCTCTCGTGATATTGCTCTGTCTGTAGGCAGAGAGGTTGGAAACAAAACCCCCTGCCAGGCTGCCCGTGCCCATCACTATCACAGCAGCGGGGGTGAACCAGCAAAGATTGTGCCTAGCATAGGAATAATGGAAGTGAAACCCACTGAAAACACGGGACTCAGCAGCTGATAAAGCCCCAGGTAGACTTATCTCTCTCGATAGCTGCCACCAAGTACAGGCTGTTTTTAACAACTTTCAGCCAACTCGAGCAGAAAAAGGCCTGACATGAAACCGCAGGGTGGAAAGTCGGGGAGGATGGTATCGCACGTAAAACTGAAAGAAGTGAGGTGTACTCTGAGCTGAGAGCACCCAGGGAAGGTATAAACAGCGGGGCCGGGGCTGCCTGCAGGTCTCTGCCCCCCGCTCACCCCTCTCTGGGTGCACAGGTACCCCAGGACATCCCATGGAGAGTGATGCAGGACAGGGAGCAGGTCAGATAAGATGCCAAATGATAACTGGTCTCAAGTTAGAGGAAGATCTGCAGCTTGATAAGGCAAGCTCAGCTTGCCATGGAAATTGAGAGCAGCCCTGCGAAGGACTTGGGGGTACTGGTGGATGAAAAGCTGGACATGAGCCGGTAACGTGTGCTCACAGCCCAGAAGGCCAACCGTATCTTGGGCTGCATCAAAAGAAGCATGGCCAGCTAGTCGAGGGAAGTGATTGTGCCCCTCTACTCTGCTCTCATGAGACCCCACCTGGAGTACTGCATTCAGCTCTGGGGCCCCCAACATAGGAAGGACATGGACCTGTTGGAGTGAGTCCAGAGGAGGGCCATGAAGATGACCAGAGGGCTGGAGCACCTCTCCTATGAAGACATGCTAAGGAAGTTGGGGTTGTTCAGCCTGGAGAAGAGAAGGCTCCAGGGAGACCTTATTGTGGTCTTTCAGTACTTAAAAGGGGCTTATAAGAAAGATGGGGACAAACTTTTTAACAGGACCTGTAGTGATACAACAAGGGGTAATGTTTTTAAACTAAAAGAGGGTAGATTTAGACTAGATATAAGGAAAAAAATTTTTACAATGAGGGTGGTGAAACACTGGAACAGGTTGCCCAGAGAGGTGGTAGATGCCCCATTCAAGGGCTGGTTGGATGAGCCTTGAAGCAACCTGATCTAGTTGAAGATGTCCCTGCTCATTGCAGGGGGTTGGACTAGATGACCTTTAAAGGTCCCTTCCAACCGAAACTATTCTATGATTCTATAAAACCCTCTTGTCTAGCATGAAGCTTTCAGAAGAAACCATCCTGTGCACAGAGAGGGCACAAAAATCCTCACAATGCCTGGCCTTGGAGAAAACGTGCCAGGTGGTTGCTGAGGTTGAAGCCACCATGGAAAGTTATGGCAGCTCCTCATGTTGAGTGCCCAGAGCAGCACTCAGGCTCCCAGAAGCAGGGAGGGTTTAATGCAAAGACTACAGGATATTAAAGCCTGCAGTAGGACAGACCTTAGTTTAAAAAAAGGGCAGAAGGATCTAGGAATCAGGCTTAAAATACTTCACATGGCTTCAAATGAAGCACATCCCTATGGCAGCTCTTCTGGCTTGACACCCCAAAAGCCCAGGTGCCCCACACAGCAGTGACAGTGGCTGGCTCTGCCCTGGAGCTGGCTGGGGGAGTGGGATTATGAGGATGTAGGTGACAGCACCTGTGTCCTCACAAGAGTGGCACAGTGGCTGCTGGCAGCAGGTGACAGTGGTTGTGAGGTCCTGAGAGGCACCAGCACATCAGGCTCATCCTCCAGATCCCAAAAGGGAGGCAGGTGATGTAGATAAGTCCAAGTAACCACAGGTTGGCAGAGAGCCTCTGATCTTTACTGCTGGAAGGAAAAAGCCAGCAAGTCATCTGTACCAAGAGCCCTCCAACACCTTCACAACAAGCACTGCCCCTCCTGCGAGAGCAAAGGGAGGTGACCAGGTACCAGGGCAGAGCCCATCTTCAGCTTCGAGGGCTTCCCTGCTTTGAGGTCCTTCCACTCTTAATTATGCCTTGATGCTATGATCTGGAGCAGGACTAGAAGGAAGGAAAGGAGGTTTCCTGGAAGCAGAGGAGCCAAGTCAAGGTCTTCAGGATCCTTATGGAGAGCTAGCAAAGCCCTAACCTGTGGATAGAACCTGAGTCACCCCCTTCCCAAGAGCCCTGCCATGGGGACATGGGGTCCCACTTGGGCTGGGGCAGCGGCCTACAAGCAGGACAGTGAAGGAGGGGTTGTCCCACCAGCATTTCCGATGCTCGCAGGTGGGGACCAGGAGATGTTCCTGGCTCAGGTCTGGTGCATGGGGAGGAAGAGAGGGAGAGCAGATCTCCCTGCCCCCCCTTTCACCCCTTTGCCAGAGCATGGGCCCCCCATTTCTGTAGGTTCACTATAGAAGACCCCTTCATGCAGCCCACCACAGAGGGGTCTCCAGGGCTGCAAATCTCCCAGTGTGGAAAGCAGGAGCTAAGCGAGAGCAGGGCTTCCCTCACAGCTGGCACCGTGCAGTACCTGGCAGCGCTGTGAGCCAGCATGGCGTGGGGAGCCACCAGCAGCAGGGTGACTGGGATGGGGCCACCCACCCTGCAGCATCGCCCATCCCCTTAGACCCTTCTGTGTTAGGAGCTGAGATTTACCCTGGAAGGGGCTGAATGCAGGAAAAACCTAAAGGTTTTGACATCTCCCCTTTAATTCTAGGGCAGCCACACCTGTATTAAACACATCAAGCTATTCTGAGGAGGAGGAGCCCCCCAGGGAGGCAGCCCTCTCTCCTGGCACTCTCGTATTCACCCAAACAAACCAATCGCTTCATCTGGGGGATCTGTGGTTTCAACCTAGCTCTTCCTCCCTGAGGCTGCTGCCACAGGGAGGAGGGATGCTCCCCACAGGGCAGGCACCGCTCCCCATGCTGCCTGCCCCAGGGGCAAAACGCTGCTCCTCAGGCACACTGCTCAACGGGCTCTGGTGGCACCACTGGCATGGGGACGGGCCCCTGCCTCCAAAACCCGGCTGTGATGGAAACCAGCCCCCCGTTACATCATGGCAACACAACTCAAATCACAACTCACGATGTGCCGAGCCCTCACAGTCATCTCTCAGAAAGAGCCCGGTGCTGGTCCCTCTATTAAAGCCTTTGACTTGCTTTTACTAAAGGGACTTTCCCAAAACCACCCACAGAGCCGAAACTGCTTTGACGTCCTGTTCCACTTCACACACACCTCCTGGCGCTGCCCAAGCACCTTGTAGCTTACTGGCACCTGCCTGGAAACAAAAGCTGCTCCTGCAGGTCCCCCCACAGCCTGGCCTTGGCAGGGACCGGGAACGAGCCCTGTCCCAGCCCTAGCATGACCCCGCTGGGCTGACCAGCCCCTTCCAGGGCCAACCCCTGCCAATCCCCTCCATCCCAGCACACTGGTCATGGCTCCTCTGCAGGATGCATGAAGGAGTCAAACATAAGGTGAAGCCCGGGCAGTAATTTCCCTGCCGCTTTCATACAGCCTGAAATTATTTTTTACTTCAGCTCCCACCCCCGAGTGAGCCGCCCAGGCGACAGGAGGAAGGTTTCCCAAAGTTCTTTCTCCTCCTCTCCAACTCTCGCTGTGTGTCAGCCTCCCTGTCCCCCACCCCTCCAGCCCAGGGACAAAGTGCCCACACTGCTCATGAGGACACTGCTTGGCCCACAGGAGCCCCATCCCTGCTGGGACATCCATCCCTTCTCCTTGGGGTCACTCCATACCCAGGTGGTTCCATCCTGCCAGCAGTCCCCAGGGGGGGCAGAAAGGGACATTCAACCCTGGTCCCCAGGCAGGACTGCAGAGTGGGACATCCCCTCAGCAGTGGGGATGCTGTGTCCGTGGGCACAGCAAGGCTTGCAAGACAGATGGACTGCCGTCTGAGCAACACGACATAACTCTAAACAATTCTCTGTCTTTCACTGCTTGCTTCATACCGGGGCTTTTTTCTCACTCTGAAGACTTCCCTCATCTTTTTCTGCACTAAACACCCCCAATTCTTTTCCATCAGTTGTTCTTTTAGAGAATTTTTGCTCCTTTCTCCAGGTCATCAGGGTGAATTTGATTTCTAACCCTCCTCCCAGATGGCCCCTACACCCTCCCTCAATAGCATATTGCCTTCATTTGAGCTGTGCTTCCCCAGAAAACCCCTGTGCGATATCTGCCATCACAGGCTATTGATAAGTGCTCATGGGATATAGCTTCTTGGGTAGCCATCCACCCACAGAGGCAGAATTTCCCATTTCCCTAATTTGCTTATGAGAATGTCACGTAAAGCAGCACAAAGATAGCATCGTTCCCACTTTCCCTGCAGTACCCAGGCCATCACACTAATGAAGAGAAAATGAGGTTGGTTTGACACAACATGTTCCTGCTAAATCTGTGATCTCAGCCCCAGTGCTGCCCTCTCGGTGTTTACCGCTTGGTGGCCTTACTAATTTGTTCCAGTGATTTTCTGGGTACCGAGGCAGGCTGACTCATCTAGAGTTTCCTGGATCCTCTTTTTTCCCCTTCCTTGAAGCAGATGGTGAATTGGGCTCCTGTATTCTCCTGGGACATGGCTCCACGCCAGCTTCTGCACCGCTCTCCCCCTCTGACCTTGCTGCTGTTGACAGTGAATGGTTGTCGCCTTGTCACGGTGAAACCCACCACCTCTAGGGACAAGCAAAGGCTGTAGG